ACAGTTGAAACTAAACATTGAACTCTTTGATCAAAACTGGTTATATTGGCGGGTACATTAAAAAGTGTGTTTTACAAAAATTAAAATTCTTATTTATATCACTATAACCATCAGATTCAACATAAGCGACTAGAAAAGTAGTATACAGGGTGTGTTCGGCCACCCCTGGGAAAAATTTTAATGGGTGATTCCAGAAGCCAAAATAAGTTGAAGATCAAGAATACCAATTTGTTGATTGAAGTTTCGTTACAAAATTATTAACAAAATTATTAATAACATTTGTCCACCAACACGAATTTTTTTTTCGAAAGTGCGTGGAATTTCGGGGGTATGTTTATTCGCCAAAAATGATTGTAATTAACCCCCGCAGTCAAAAATATTTTTTCCAGAGCGATTTGAAATATTTTTTTCACCGAAAAATTTTCCGGTCGGTATGAAACGTTAATAACTTTTTAATGAAGCTTCAATCAACAAATTGGTATTCTTAATTTTCGTCTCATTTTCGCCTCTAGGATCTCCCATTAAAATTTTTTCCCCGAGGTGGTCGAACACTCTGTATATGAAACGTCGAAATAATTTTTTAGTTCAAAGGATTAAGAATCGTTGGTCCGTTCCATGGTCCCCGATGATTTTGGGAAATTGGCGCAAAAGCGCAGCTGCAAAGGCGCATTATCTTGCGGCGTTCGCGGACCGAACCAGCGACAATCGAATGTATAATTAATTCGAAACGCGAGGCGCGGCCGTGCTTAATGAACCCAGAGGTCAACGCGGTGCACTCTCTCGAAAATCAATTTTGACGCATCGTTGCTCCGTCGGTCCGAGCACACCACGTGTGCAACGGGTGCAGGAGGAGGGAGAAAGTGGGAGGGGGTGGTTTTTCATTTTCACCCACGACCCTCAAACGCTGCCCCGACCGCTCCCCGAAATATTTTCCATCGCTTCGATGGTACCGCGGAACTTCGGCCCGCGAGTCTTTGATCTTTCCATCGCAAATTACTTGCTCTCCCGAATACGGACCATTCCCATCTTCGCTGGGCCACGCTCGAACTATGCTCGTATTTCGCAACGCAAAGTCTTTTGCTCCCGACTTCGATGCCGGATGCCTGATTATTTTCTACGCTGCTTTTGGAATAGCTCAACGATTTTAATAAAACGGACGAGCTCGGTCTTTAATCCTTTACGGGATTCAAACATTCTCCATATTTCGTTTCAGCCATTTCCGTTCGTACCTCGTAGGATATTTCAAAATTATGGGACGAAACGAGGAATACAAATTTCGGATTGAATAAGAAATTGAAAAGTTCTTTGCAATTTTACAAACCGAGCCTTCGTTCTCGAGATATGGTGAAGTTTGCTTCCAGGTACGCGTCATTTTGATCTCCGGTCAGTTGATCGCGCGCCGCCATTTGCACGGCCCGCGCACGGAGATTTAGAGTTTGCTTAAATTAGTTACTCAAGGTAATATTCAGTTCCTGAACAGTGTTAGACGAATAGAGACACATCGACATACCCTTTTCGTACTATGTGCGTACTTGGAATCGATCAATGCAATGTGTGCGGAAAACGCCCATGGGCATCCACTGCGTGCGTAAAATAAACGTGACTATTAGATTCCCGCACACGGCATATCGAACCTTATAATCTCGTTATGAAAAGGGTTAAAACGCTACATAGAATTTTTCTCTTAATGAAGCACGCCCATCGAACGCGGTTATTGGCTCCTAAGCGTGTCTAGACTCAGTATCGACAATTAATAACCATTGATTCGACGCGTATCGGTCGCTTTATCTCCCGTACGGATACAGAGACGATCCCAGCAATTGGTTACTCTTGTCTGCAGCGAACCGTCGCGTCGAAAGGCTTAAAATGCATATCCCGTCGCTCTCAAACGTTCCATCGAACCACTCGTCGCCATATTCCTCTCGTGCATTCACGGGACGGATCCGTCGTTCTCCATAAAGCTCGTCAATTCCGCGTCTGCATCGTTGTTTCGGTCCGTGAATCACGAGTTCCCGCCGGCAGTCGGAAAACTCGCGAGCCACGTAATTGACGTATAAAGTGTCTTGGTACTGGAGTATCCAAGAACGACGACGACGAGCTGGTTCGCGCACCCCGGAGCGTATAAAAGCGAAACGAAGTCGAGTCGACGCGGGAACGAGCAGAAGAAGCGACGGTGGCGAGAGGAGGAGTAGCCCAACCTCTAACCATAATCTAGCATTATGTCGAGTGGTCTCTACGGTCGCAAGAAGCGGTTGGAAACGAGTTTGTTCGTTTCGGCGGATTATCCTGCCTCCGCGTCTCGGGGTCTGTACAAAGAGCGCGAGCATATTTTCACGGTTGAAATTCACGTTCGAATCCACGGGGCGACGTTACGCCGGCTTACAGACGTGTATTCGTTTAATCTATTCAACGACCGGGAACCGTAAACGACGCAAACCGATGGAACAGCGAGAGAGACGCTTTAAAAGAAAAGGAAAACCAAACGGTTGAAAAATCGAAGAGTCGGATTCTTCGATCCCGGGGACAGTTCCTTCTCTTCTCGTGTCTTTCTGTCGGAGTTGGATTAAATTTTGTTGTAAAAGAGCGGTTGTTTTAACGTCAGAATGAATATTTTTCATTTTTAACCCTTAAATGGGGCAACTTTATTGGGGATAGGTGTTTATTTTTAACGAAGAGATGATTATTTTAGCGGTACTAAAAATATTTTTCATCATAACCCTTAAATGGTGCAGCTTGTATTGGAGTGGATGAGTATTTTATTTTCTGCAAACAATAATCTTATGTTATAAGGGTTTTATGCACTGAAAAAACAAAGATTTCAATGTAAATAGAATTCGCAGTTTTCAAGTCGCTTTTATTTTATTTATAATTTTGTGTTCTAGTATAGTTATATAAGAAGTCAGTACTTTTTATTTTTAAAAGCTTGAACGTATACGTATATTATATAAATTCGTTGAAAAATTGAACGAAGAATAATATGCAATTAAATTTAACACGTAAATTAGCAAAGAAACTAAGATTCCACCCTCCGGAGTTTCAGCAAACTTTGTTCACGAGTGACAAATAAAAACTGTAGATTCATCCGTAAATTAGAGTTCACTTTTTACCATTGGCGTCCAGAGGAACGAGTGAAATCCAGTTTACGAACGAATCTAAAATTTTTATTCGTTATTCATGAATAAAATTTGTCCCGACTCTGCGGACCAAAGTCGTCCGGGGGCTGCTCAGATTCTTGCGTCGCAAAGAGTTAATAAATTCCCAAACGGAGATCGGTTCGTAGGGTTTCCTGACCCGAGTACGTGTGCCCACAGCTGTCAGTCGCAAATAACTGCCGCTCCCCTCGGTGTGGCTTCGGCCGAGCGTGGCCCGTCATGGCCATCTCCCGCCATTTCACGAATATCGAATTCCTTCGGGCAATTTTTGAATGATATTTGATAGCAGGGAATTCGTACGAGTGCTCGCCGGGTATTCCACACGCGGATGTATGAGCTCCCTCGAATAAGTTGCCCGTTTCCACGGAATATTACGAGCACCGCGGTTATAAACGATCCTCGACGAAGACGCTAAAAAACGTGATTGAGTTTCATACGGTAGCTGACGATCGAGATTGTGTTACCTTCCTTCATTCCTGTTCTGAACCGATACGTTTCAAATACGAAGGAAATCTAGTTTCGATGCGTTTCGACGCTGCCTCGTTCGATTCTGTTGCGTTACAGAGAATCCTAGAACTCGTATAGGGCTGAATTCGATCGAAGCACATTTCTAAAACGCGACATTTGACGGTTTAACAGGTCAAAACGAACCAGTGACAACTTTGAGAGATATTATGAGCTAAATTTTTAGACTACGTTTTATACCTGAAAGAACCAAATGAGTTATTATATGGCAGAAACTTAAAATGAAATTACCATCTCGTGTGTTTTGGAAATTCAGGAAAATTTCTTTTTGCGCATTATTAGTTATAATAACGAAATAAGAATTTTCTGGATTTTTATCGTCATCGAATTTCATTGTTTTTGGATGTGCACTATTTCTACAATACTATTTTATTAATGTAACGTAATTTTATGCTTATCTAGACACTGGAGAGCAATTTATGAAACCATACTGAAATGAAACTCTAGAGGGACTCATTGCAATATTTCACGAATTGTATTCTACAGTTAAAATATTCTAGAAAGAAATTATTTCTGTGTTATTTATACATCGTGAACTTAAACTGAAAAATGAGTGGTTGCTACTGCAAGATTAGTGGATGGTCCATTTAAGAAAATATCCATGCGTTAATGTTGTAAGATTTTCTCAGCGAACTTTGCACGGATTATTTTTTTCTCGGGTTCCCATTCAGTGACATCATGCAATAACGTGTTAAATTAAATCACGTGTCTTCTTTTTCTTACGATCAATTCCGTTCTAATTTCTTTTTACTTTTCGTAGCCGACGTTGCACGGCAACCAAGGCAACTCACGCTCGCCCGCTTACACTTGCGCATACATAAATTTTAAACATTAAATAATTTTGCATTCTCCTTTATATTATGTATGCACATAATTTAATGTGAATCTGATAGTAGAAGTGTGATATTTTATGTTCTTTAAGCAAAAATATAACTTGTGATCAGGGTTGAATTATGGTTTCTGTGGCCCGGGGCTGAGGAACGATTAGAGGTTCCCTTGATAAGGAAAGTAAAGATGTCCAGATTTGTAAATAATTTTAGAAGAGATAGCATTAGCTTTAAAAATGTCGATAACGCTACAAATTTGTAAAATAAGAAATAAAGATTATAAATGTATTCTTTTACAAGGAGATTGAACAATTTTTTTGAACGTTTCATCCGTTAAAATGAAAGTTCATTTTTCGAGCAAACTTTAAAACAAAATAGTATCAAACCGAATTTATCTTCAAATTGTATTATCCTTTCTTTTACTTTAGTATTTAAGATAATTTTTATTGTATAATTTCGAACGTTACATTATCGCAAATTATTTTCTCTTTTCTAGAATTTATATTTCTCCTGAAGAGGTCTGCAATCAACGGCCAAAACGTTGAGGTAAATAAATTTATTCTCATGTAATTAAAGTTAGCTCTTTACGCCCATATAAAATCCACCCTTCGTGTGATCAAGTTACTAGAATATTTAGAGCAAGGAATGTAACGTAATATAAAGACTAATTAACGTCCAAATTTCTAATTATATGACGTGGGTAATACGTCAAAAGAAACCATGAAAATATAATAATACTCCTTGTATAACACGATAAATAATTTGATACCTAAGAAATTCTTTGTTGGGCGAATTCGTGTTATACGAAATTAAGAAATATTATAAAATACAGAGTTAGGTTCATTATCAATATTAACAAATTTTTCCTTTCTTGCAAAATATTATTGTTCTAACTTTCTTTACAGTATCCTAACTTCTGTGTTCTGCTTCTTCTGTTGTTCCCTTTTTTTTTAACAAACTGTATAAATTTCGAAGATAATGACAAAAGGTATTAATTATTTCGAAGAACATGTATTGTCTGACTGTTATAATATTTATAACAAATATTTCTTTATAATATTGGCTTAATACTGAGGAACCCTTGAAACAAATATTATATTTTGGTAGTTTGTATTGACTGATTATACATGTCTTGTACAATGTTTTAATAATTAGCATGAATCGAATAGTGAAAAAGTGTTTGGTGTTTTGCGACCTTTCAGTTGCGTTTGTCAATATTGTGGTCTTAAGAAACATTCGAAACTTCTCCCATTTAAAACGTAAGCGTCCCCCAAACAACACGGATTGCAGCGCACGTTCATTTGAAGCGGACTCTCAACCGAACCGCTTAACGCACTTCCAAGAGCACGCCCTAAAGCAGGGAAAGTGCCCTTAAGGGTACGTGCCTCGGTCGGAGATAGCCGATTCGTCATGCCTCTATCGTAAACATGTGCACCCGATAAAGCTGTCGTCCAACAGGCAACTAGAGAAACCACTTCTCACGACTCCAGCCATCCGCAGAATTCATGAACAGAATTCACAATATTCCCTCGATTCTAATATCTCAGTGGAATGTAAAAGTGAAAACGTAACTGTCACATCGAGAAACTAATAAATAATTTGACTACGTACCTGGTCTGGGTTAGCTTCATTAATTTTAAACGTCTCGATCCCGAGTTTGAAGATGATTTTTGTCATTAAATTTTCCTCGTTTAAACATCAGGTTTACAATTTATAATTAAGTCATAAGTTTCAATATCAACTTTTTTTGTTCTATCGTGTTAGTCTTATTAAATAGAGGCTGACAGACCTTAATTACATTAAATAATCACTGTCAGTCACGTCAATGAACATTTAATAGAATTATTACTACAAAAATTATTCGAATAACATACTGACAGGTAGTAATATTTATAAATAGTCCAGTAACGCATATGAAAGGTACACTAACTTTACAGGCGTGCAGTTTCGGAACTGCTTGAGTTTTCTCCATAATCAAGTAACTGTTAGAAGCGGCAAAGCTTCCTCTTCAAAATGGCTTTCGGTTTTTGCCGATCCGACTTTTCGTTTTGGAGATATCGTAATTTAAATAAAGGGGTAATTTTTCAATTCAACTATCTCCGTCTCCGTTTAACGCGCCCGACCTCACTTTCCCTCGCACGTAAGCGACGTAACGTCTACTATTTACTACGATCACGTGCGGTCAATGACCTTGCCAAGGCAGTAATGAAAGTTCATTGCCTCGCGAAGTAAACAAATGCTTCGAACCCTTATATATCCGGAACTAACTACGCGATCGACTTGAACGAAAATCGTTATATCTCCGGAACTAATTACGCTATCGTCATGAATGAACACTCATTTTAAAGTATGTTTCATCCTCTATCTGATGAATATGTAAACTATTATTATTTGTGCTGTCTTCTATGTTTATTTTGCAATCTACTTCGACACTAGGTAGAGGAAAAGCATATATGGAATGTTGGTAATTTTAAATACTGAAGTGTCTTGAAAAGTACTAACATTGTATAATCTATCTTCCTCCCTGATCTGCATACTACCTCTCGACTTCTCTCTGCTGACCCGATTAACAGGATTTGCACGCCAGCTAATGAATATACAACAAGGCTTGAATTCTCTGCTATTAAAATTTCCTCATTCAAAAATCAGGTTTACAAATTATAATTAAATTATAAGTCCGAGTATCAATTCTATTTTGTTCTGCGCGTATTTCTATATTATATATTGTTTATCTATGAGCACTGTTCTCTATCTCAGCCGTAAAAATGTCATTATATTTTCTCATATACACTAATGAGTTTTTACCCATATAATAAATAAATAATTGTGGCCATAAATACTGGTTTCTACAATTTTCGTGTTTATTCAATGTACTTTTCATATGTTTTAATGACGAATATGTACTGTAACTATAAACTAATTAAAATCTGGTTTACATCCCATTACCATTTTTCAAAAATGTCGCATTAAAATATTTAAAAAATTAATATTCTCTTTTCTCAGGAAATTTCTTTTAGATATTTTATTTTCTATTTTAACAAGAGAACACAAATCTTAAGGATCGAGAACGTATATTACACTAACATTTTATAGATGTACTTAATGTTCTATTACATCATTTTCATCGGAAAATAAAAATGATTCGTCTCATAGAGAATTAAATGAAATAGCTCCGAATAATTTCGATATCAGACAATTCTGTTCGGTTTTTAAATTTTATTTCAACAAGAGGACCCAAATCTTAAAGATCGAGAACGTTTATTAACACTCTGTTACATCATTCTCATCGAAAAATAAATATGCTTCGTCTCGCAGAGGGTCAAAATAAAATAGCTCCGTATATTTTTGATCAATCGAGGCGAATTTTCCATATTGGCCGGAGTGTTATCGTGGACGTGGACAAAAACAACCGAGGCTTTCCCTCCCCGCGATTAGTTGCGTCGCGACGTGGACAATGACACGCGTGGTCCGCTCGAAACTCGCGACAGAAAGAGAGGAGACGCGTAGGGGTGGAACGGGAGCAACGAGTGGTCCTTCACCCTCCTTTTTTTTTAGCGCGTGAATTTTAAACTAAGGCCGGACGCGTAAACGGGAAAGCCTCGCCTTTGAACGAGGGCGACGGCGAGCGTTTTTCGCCCCCAAGAAAAACGAGCGCGGAAAACGTTTCCCTGGCGAGATCCGTGTCCGGCCGTGCAGCCGTTGCATAAATATGAGGGAGCTGCGCGAGGAACCGGAGCACGCGGCGACATGAAAATGCGATGAAGGCTTCGCCGATGACAGAGAAGCGAGAGGATCCTCTCCCCGCACAACCGCGAGAAAAAGGGAATGCGGGAACCCTGAACTCGAATTTTTCATCTCCCTGGTACGCGCGGCCTGGGACTCCGCAAATTTTGTCGCGCGATGCGAAAAATTGAAGCTCGTCGACCGAGAAACCTTACTTTCCCCAGGAATTTTACGAAAATTTTAGCCGATTCTGAACGATAATCGCTCAACGATCGAGAAGAAGCAGAAAAAAAGGGGGATGGAAAGTCGATACAAGGAGGATAGACTTCATTTTTAATGGAACACTTGTTTATTGTGGATACAGTGATTCCGAAATAGGACAATATTAACGCTAGATTCGTTGCACATATTTTTATTGTAATTCGTTGTGTAATCAGTTGTATTGAAATGCAGTTTTCTGTATATCCATATCATTACCATAAATTATTAACAAATCCATGGACATTTGGTCAATTCTTACGTGGGTTTGAATATTAGGTACAGAAATCTATACATTTTTATTTAAGTAATATTTATTACACCTGCTGGATATTTGAAATCTTTTCACGATTTCCTATTGGAATATTAGTTCTTCGACATCGTCCGTGCTGGTCTCGTTTGATTCAGCGAACGAGAGCAGTATGTACAGTAAAATGAAAACATATGAAGTGCTCCAGACATCTGGAAATGAATTCTGACCCACTGTGCTGAACTTTCAGCCCCATTTCCTGGTTCCTTCTTTCTCCGTTCGCGAAACGATTATCTGTCGGGGGAAATTAACCCACATTCTTGTCAATTTCTATCCATGTCTTAATACTTGCACGGCTATCGTTAAAAAAGGTCTTTTTGGACCCATATCTTACACCTTACAATATGTATATATTTAGACTTCTAACTAAATAATCTAGAATATTTGTTTTACCCACTTGTTAGAAGACACAATAATTCAAATTTTGCCCTAAATATTTTTGAGTTTTATTAAGAGGATATACATATACGTTATTAAACCCTTCCTCTTAAAATATCAATGAAACATAAACAGTCACAGAGTGCATAATACCAAAAATATTAACATTTTGGAGAATGGGGGAAAAGAATGAATGAAATGTAAGTGTTATCTGGGTCGAAATAGACCCATAGTACTGAAATATTTCAAGCATTCGATAATCTTAAAAATAAATTTATTGTAGATTAGTTTACAATTTTCTAAAACTAATATGTTGCCAACATAAACATAGAACTCCCATTTTAATCGCCATTCTAGATTGCTATTAAGATCCTTTCGATTTTAAAATGCGATCTAAAGACTCCAGGCGTGAAATACTGCTCCCCACTAACAAACGCGTCCAAGCACACTTTTAACACGTATAGCTTGAAGATTCGCAAGATAAAATTGAAATTCTTTGTAAATACATAATTTTCCAAGAGGAATGCAATCGAATCATTTTTGCGAACGAATTCGAGCACCGAATGCGCGTCGCCGCCGCAGTCTCCGAACAATCGAACCGTGGCTCGCTTCGTGTTCGCGAACAATTACGGCGTATAAAATCTAGGATTGTGGTTCACGGCGAGGATCGTTGCATAAATATGAGGGCGCCGGGCGAGAAGCGGAACACCCGAAGACATGAAAATGCAATGAAGACACGACACGGCGCGGCGCGAAAATAAAGGAGAGAACCCGGGGAGAAGTAACCTCGTACTCGTTGTCTCGCGACGAAGAAGGAAGCTCCGCGAGAATTTTGGCGAGACGTATTCGTAGACGGTGGTCGCGGCGTCCCAGAAAC